CGAGAAGCCGATTTGCCCCTCGCTGGCAAGGCCGGGGGTGCCGAAGGAGCCGGGCCGGAGCCTCGGCCGGCACTCAGGGAGGCGAGGGGCTGACCCCGCTACTCTTTACCTTGCCGAAAATAAACCCGCAAACCGCAGCATGCATGGCTTTGTGTGTGTGTTTTGTTTGCTTGCTTTTATTAAGCACTTCTAACAGTATTTTACTATCTTTAGGCATGCTTCTTCACTAGATTTTAGTCTCTGGCACTAGTACCCCACCCTGATACGTGACACACCCGCGATTGCTGGTGTTGCTCATCAGTGAAAACTATCAGTAAAATACTTAATAACAGACAAAAAATAAATTACTAGTTGTGTGTGTTTTGTTTGCTTGCTTTTATTAAGCACTTCTAACAGTATTTTACTATCTTTAGGCATGCTTCTTCACTAGATTTTAGTCTCTGGCACTAGTACCCCACCCTGATACGTGACACACCCGCGATTGCTGGTGTTGCTCATCAGTGAAAACTATCAGTAAAATACTTAATAACAGACAAAAAATAAATTACTAGTGGTTTGATTTTTTTTTCAATCTAGACAGGAAGGAATACTAACATCAGCTGACTAAGACAAGGGGTAGCTACATACGAGGGAAGTATAAAGTAGAAATACATTTAGTTGCATTTTCATCATCTTTTCTGATAAATACTTAAGCCCTTCCCCTCCTTTAAAAGAAACAAAATTTACTCAGTTTTCCAACTGTATTTGTACCATTTTTATTTGTAAAAATAACCATCTGAATGCATTACAATAGTAGTTTACAGATAGGGTTCTTCATTACATCAATACAGCATTCAGTAGTTGAAAAAGTTACTAAACTGTGCTTGAGAAGATTAAGGTTGAATTCCAAGTCATTCACTGAAGTAAGCCTTTTTCCTCATTTCGTATGTGACGTTTACCCAAGTCCTTAAACTTCAATTTACAAAAGCAAACAATACCGACAAAAGCCCACTGAAATAATCAAACAATATTTTATATTGTTTATTACAAATGTTATGCAAAATATAACACTGGCACCAGATTCGTATCACCATGGTTTGTAAAGATATATTGCACATGCTAAAGCATAAAATATGAGACAAAACCTACAAAACATAAGATATTGGCTTTAATATGTAGATCACTGCATAAGAAACACATAAAATTACATTTTATACACACACTCAGATTGTCACTAGTTTAAAACGCCCTTTCCTATAACACTGACCTAAGGTTTACTTTTTGTGTAATAAGAAAGCATTTTCAGCACTGCAAAAATTATACATTATTCCTATAGAAATTTAGCATATTAATTTTCATTTCAATGCAGGTAGAACATGAAAAGAAGAAACACTTTATACATTCAAAGAAGGTCTGAAATAAAAATTTACTGGTAATATATTGCTTTTATAACACTCAAATAATAATAAAAAAAAAAGACGAGTTTCACAAAACATTTCCATAATACACAAATATAAAAAGGCACTCTAATATTTCTTACATGACTAAGAATAAAAATCACAAGTTTTTCTTTAAAATCATCCTCAAGATACATAACCAAGTTTCTCCACAGTACAATGGATAAACAATTCATTTTATGTGTTTGTTCTAATTCAGTAATCTGGCAGTGGTTTACTGCATAAAAGTACCAAACACATTATGGTGCCCTTTTAGTAGCGATGAACAGAAATCCCCTGAGCTATTTCACAGCAATTTCAGGCAGTCTGGAGGTTGTAACTCAGTATTTATGGGAGAGACTTGGGACCCCATCCTGCTATGGATTCCACCTGCAGCTGTCGTTAAAATACAGGATGAAACAATCCTGCTGATATACCTGGGCAGATGGCTGCCCCTCCCCAAATACCCTTTGCTTGGTGCAGACACAGAATTCGTCCATGTACTGTAAATTGCAGGATCCAGGGTTAAGTGCAACAATTGAGTATGATTAATTCTACTCTTGTAAAAGGTCCACAGAAAGGCAAGGTGGTTATTTACAAGAGTAAAATTTTTCCCTTGCTTAAATACCTGCCTTAAAATACAAATTTATGTCTACATAAACTATATGACAGATTAATGTACTAGCATACAAAAAAAAGGAATTCTGGTAACTCACGTGAGATGTGGGATAGGCCAATACTGAGTACTTTCAAGTGTCTCGCTCATGAAGGTTTTCCTTGTAACTACAACATGACTTCTGCAATGCCCTTACGATGCTAACAAATCACGTTTCTATGATTTTTGGAATATTGCATACTTAAATCATCGTTAGTTTACAGAAAAGTTTCATCAATAAAGTTCAGATTTAGTGCCTAGAAGGAGCAAAGTAATTCAGTAATCACCTATGCTTCAATAACATTGTATATACATCATTCAGAGGCTGCAGTTGTTGCACTACACAATTACTAGAGTTACGAGGTATTGCAAATACACAGAAGTATTTTCAGTAACTCTGTATGGTAGCAAGTAAAAATACTGAAATTTTTTAAATGGCTGCTTAAAATAATCCAACATCATCTTTGTAAAGAGGGCTGTTTTTCTCCTAATGAAGCAACCTCATGTAGGATAGCGCAACTTTCTGTATTTCAGGGTAAGACTTACCACTAATCCTGCCAAGAAGCCTACCTACATCTCTGGTTAAAATGCGATTGAAAGGCTGATCCTGCTATTACACAGCCAGCAGGCATTTCCCATTTGTTTTTTTGTTTTCAGGGCCTTCATTCCACATAAAAAAAAAAAAAAAAAATGGGGATTTCTATTAATTTCTGAACAGACACCACTGAAAACTTTGACAACCGATCTCTCCTCTAATTTTCAGTGCTTAAAGTAAGGTGGTTATTGCTATTCTGCAACTTTTAAAAGCAAAAACGTTGAGAAAAATCAATCATAAAAATGTCATTCTGTGCTATTTCTGAGGAGAAAACCAGTGTTTCAGGTGCTCTGTCATTCTACTGCAGAAAATGTAGTGTTGAGGGAGAAGAAATGTTCACCTTTAAAGACGCTATCCCTTGTGATTTTTTGTTGTAAACTTTGGAAATTTCTTAGATGTTCGAGGAAAAACTATTTAATTTTACCTAATGTTCAAGGAAAAAATATTTAATTTTAGCAAGGCAAATAAACTTAATAACTAAATATTTTTCCTAATTAAAGAACTGGCATCTGCCAACAGATTTTTAACAATTCAGTGGAACACGGCTAAAAACTGCGACTAAAATAAAAATCCTGACTTTTCATCTACCCTGCCGAAAGCGTGTACTGACAGCCTGAGCGTGAATCACAGGAACTTCAACACCATGACTGCACGCTAGACTACCTTTCCCCTCTTTCCTGTAGCTGTACAGTGTTCTCTCACTGGTCTAGCAAGGGGTAGGATCCCTTTCTTACGCTCGTAAATGAGGGAAGGTGCGTTGCTTTCTGCGTTTTACCAACACAGCCCGTGGCCTCGCTCTTTGCGTTCCATGCAGGAAGGCGGGCACTCTCCCAAAGGGCATCAGCCCTTCCTTTTTCTGCTCAGGCCATCAGTCTGGCCTAGATTCACATTTCATTTCGCATCATGCCAAACAGTATAACAGTATGCACAAATGCTAACTAGGAGAACAAGCCATAGTTATTTTTTCCTGGGCATTTGTTTCATTTCAAATAAATATAAACACATTTACATTAAAAGTGTGTGAACATATTCTTTAGTCTGGAAAAAACCCCAAACTGTGGTCAACACATCATCAGTTACAAATGTCAACTTGAAACCTGCATCATAAAATGTAAAATTCACTCAAGACTACTCATTACCTCAAAAGTTTATATTTTTATGGTTTAGAAAAACTACTTCATTATGTCACTCACATTTGAAGAAAAAATAAAAGTAGCAAAGTCTTCCATTTAATTACTGAAGCATTTTGGTCCTCTTGGTACAGCTGGTTAGTTCATGATAGCTTTTTGTTTATTTTTTGTTTTTTGTTTACAAAGTCTCATTCGTCCTTTTGTACATCTCTTGCAGAGTAGGGTCGTGGTCCGTTTGACCTAGAAACTTTGGCAGAAGGAGTAAACATATTCACAAAGTTGACATTGCTTTAAAAGCTGGTGACAACAGGCTTTTTTAGCATGTATCTCCAATCCCCTGCACGGTACGCTGCTATGTTTTCTGGTGTCTGGTATTTCAACTTTTGGTGTTACACTTTCATTGCTTTACCTTGCTCTCTTAATCCAAACACTGGCAAAAGTATTTTAAAATTCCATACTGTTTACAGTAAAAATAAGTTTTTTAAGCATAGAAAAGGAAAAAAATGCATTTAAGTTGGCAAGTCATTATAAACTTTTACATACACCTTTGTCTACACTGGATTTTTTTTTTTTTCCTTTTATTTTTTTTCTTCTCTTTTCTGTTATTAGATTCATGGTTAATGGCTCAGGTGACAGAAACATCTAATGACCCTAATTCTGTAGTGCAAATAAACCGTACATGTTTGTGCTGAATTGAAAAAAAAATAAGGGCCAAGTGATTTTCATTTTACACAAGTGGTTCCATGAATGTCCATGGGAAAATATGGTGAGACAAGTAAAATTTGGCCTTAAGAGTTAATAACTATATTTTTCTCATTGTATGCTTCAACTAAGAACTGTAAAAAGTGCCTTCTGTACGTTTAAGTGCTTAATACATGCAGAATGTAAAAGGTTTCATTTCCTGTAGAAAAGTAATACAGGCAGTTTTCAGATATACAACTTTACCTTTGGTCTGTGTAAAAAAAAAATATCTAATTAACAGAGCCCCAGGACTCAGGAAACAGACAAACATAGGAAAGGGGTGATGCTCGAATCTCTGAAGGCTACACTGGAAATATGTTTGTGTACTAAAGGTACAGCTAAAACATGTAAGAACGTTTTACAAACAGCTCCCTGTTGATTTGTGCTGTCAAAAAGAAAAAAGGCATTTTCTCTTTTTCTACTTGAAATAAGAGGTAGAGACTTTCCACAGGGGCACTTAGGGCCTAAAGAAAACATCAGGAAGCTGAAAAGCTGCAGAACATTAATGGGAATATGTTCCAGTAAATCCCTCTAACTTTGTTATTTAAAGGTTTGATTCTCATCAACACTACAAATCTTTCAATAACCGACTTGTCAAGAATAATATTTGAGAATATAGCCGTGGGACTTAAGCTGTTTAAAAAGACAAAAATAAAACCGAAATAAAATTAAAAAAAAAAAAAAAAAAAAAAGGTTTGAATACCAAAAAGTCAAAATGTTTCAGAATCTGAATCATTTTCATTGTACCCATCCTCTGTTCCTACGTTATTACTCAAGGGCTTACTGTAGGAGTTAATGCTACCCATACTGGAGCCATCGCAGAGATGTGTCCTGCCCAAATTGTCTTTTTTAAAACAAACGAAGTTGAAAGCCGTCATTGAACTGCAAGGAGAAAAAGGCATCATGGTAGCCAAAATGAGTGCCAGGCAGTCAGCCACGTCTTTGTTAGGAGCGCAAGCCAGGGCTGGCGTATGACCTGGGCACAAACGCAGACAAGGCAATGGTTAGTACTAAGGGCATTGAGAATGGCACTGAGCATTCCTCATATACATCTCTAGCTGACGTCGTAAGCAGGAGATGTATGTTCAGTTACAATCATGCCAGGCAACAGGGGTTTGTTACTTACTTCAAATTAGACATGCTGGGAAAATACACACTTTATGGAGCATTTAAATCACTGTGACCACAACAAGCACTATTTTTTTAAAATCAGGCAGCAAACAGACTTCACGATATGAATAAAAGCATTCGCTAAACACACAGTTCTACAGCAGAGACAGTATGATGAATACAGAACATGGGAGTGCAGCAACAGGGACAGAAACTGGCTTCAGTTTCTGTGCATATGAACAAGTCTCATTCTGAGAACAACGACTTTCATTAGAACATAAAAGATATTAGTTTAAAAGTATTTTGAAGTAATAAGCAAACAATTTTGAAGACTGATCGGTTGAATATCTACTCAACTCAGAAAGCAGTTTGTTTAGGAACTAAATTATAAGAGAAAAGAATTGGACCAGTGCACGTGGTACACGTATAGCAGGTATGACTACGTGGATGTTTAGTTACCCAAATTTTCATTATGTTAGAAGAATAATGACTGTATTTGGAAAGCATGGCATACACTTTAAATACAACGTTAATATTATACAGATGTCAATAAAACAAAGAACTGGGGAGCTATTAAAAGTTTGTCTTCACTGCAGTTTAACTTGGCTCCTGTCCAAGCGCTGCCCCTAAAACAGCTCTTCACATCTGCAAATCCTGGGAACCAGGATGCTGCTTACACTTGCTGTCTATACAGTTTGCTGGCTGCTGTGTAGCACTCCAGCACTTTCCAACAACCCCTCCTTTACACTAAGAGCAAACAAATTCTTTTGCAGATGGCTACGTCTGAAGTGCTTCAGCAACAGTAGTCTGAGGCCATGACCACTACTGATATCCCACTGCCTCAAGTAAGCCAAGAATGCCTGCAGTGTAGATGAGTTTGGTGGACAAATGTGAGTACTGTTTTGTAGCAAACAACCCACATTTAAGCACTGACTGCAGTGCATGCATACCCTAAACAGGATTTCCTCTTCCACTCAGTTCCAAGCGCGAGTATTCTTTAGAGTTGTACTTATACTAAGATTATAGTTAAATTTCTCTCTTTTAAACTGCATATGCAGTTTTTCCTAGAAAAATTAAATGTGTATAAAATTTAAACTTAATTTTCATTCGTTACATACATGCAAGTTAGCTGGATCTGTACGTACAATTTTAATGATAAAAACTGCGGTTAGAAGCTAGTCTGGTTCATTTTTCTGTTCCCTATCTCTAAACCCAAGTTAGGGTCAGATGACTTCAGTGGAACTCATGCATGCAAGTGAACCTGCGTAGCATTTGGTTAATAGTAAATACTCACCACTCAGTTCTTTTCATTCATAAATCTCAAATGTCTTGCAATGATGGGTGAGTATTATTATTGTTACTTTACAGATATGGGAAGATGGAGGTACCAAATTGTTTAATTAATGTCATGAAGTCAGTATTGTAAAAAAGACCAGCTTATTTCAGGAAGACATTTTTGAAAACGTTAATTATAGAAGCACAGCCCTTTATGGGCTTTATAATGTTTAGGGAAGGACTTCACCGAGATCTGAAACAAAATTATCAGACGTATTAACTAATCATGTATTTTATGAGGCAACAGTAATTTACTTGCATCTTGGGTCAGGTCAAACAATTGGTAAGCACAAGCTTTGATCTCAGAATGAACTAGGACACAAACAGACATATGTTGATGGTTTTCTTCCTACCCATTAAAACATGCGCTGATTGAATGCATAATCCTTAATTCTTCTGCAAGGCGTCAGAATTATCCAGTGCCACTTGCATGTTTAGGAAATTCAAGTTACCACTGCACTCAAGCATTAAAAAAAAGACTAGCTGTTGACAGTACATGCAAAATGAACAGTAAAAGGGACCACTGTGATGTTTAGAATACATTTTTATATTAAAGAAAAATAAACAGTATCTTTTTTATTTATAACAGGTACTCACACAGCTCATTGTCTATTCTTGGAAGGATAAAAGCATCAGTGATGTCTACCATCAGCTTTTAAGTCTATTGCTTCGGTCTGTTGTAAAACTACCTGTTTGGTCCTACTGAAGATTGTCAAAGTGAATTATTTACTTACCATTTTCATCTACTGCTAAGACACATGCCCCTTTGGCTAGCAACTCTTCAACCACCATCTTTAAGCCATTTCGTGCAGCAATATGGAGAGGTCTAAAAAAACATAACAACTAAACTCAAGTTCAGTTTAAAATAGAGTTTCTAAAAAAAGTTAGGCAATGCTCAAAGCATACCCAGAATCAGAAAGAGAATGTTTTCCTTCTTTGGATCATTACAGTTATATTGCAGGCACTAAATTATATTACAGCCTTTAAAATAATCCTCATGTTCCACATCTATAAAACATACATACAAGACAAATATAATTACTTTTACATACATGAAGATTGCTCAATACTTTCCAGTCTAAAGATGTTCTTTAGAAATCTCTCATTTTTCCTGCTGTTTGCAGCACAGAATTGACATTTAAAAGGAAAATGAATCTAAGATTGAAGAAATGCCTTTGTTCCGCCCTTAATTCTGGCTACTACAGACTGTTCAAAATCATTGTATTGCCTTTTTATCCTTGAATACTCGATTGCTAATCTCTGTTACTGCAGAGCAGCTGGAAATTAGAAGTAACTACTGGTTTGCTCCTTTTCTGGGCCAACACCCAGTGCTCCTGTTTGGGGGCAGCTAGTGGGACAGGAAAAACAATTTCATATTGGAAGAGGGGGAAAAAATGGCTAAGATGGAATGAATTCTTCCGCAATCACTAGATGATCTGCCACCTGAACTCGTGGCTGAATCTTCCACTGTGGGATTCCCCCACACCAGTCAAACAGTTGCAGCTGGAGTAAGAATATTGATGGTTCTAACTCTGCTGATAATTTATGGTATGGAGGGGAGCTGCACATAAAATATCACCTAAAAAACCCTCTAAAAATTAAATGTACCACCTTAAGTCTAAATAAATTATTTATGTGAAGGTGAAGCTCAACAAGCTAGAAAATGCCAGGTGTGTTCTTACACATTCACATGATTAACAGACATTTTGATATAGTCTTCAATGACCTCATATAATTTTTCCACCAGATTATGTACAGAATTGGCATCAAAGGAATCCAAATTAAAAGTGAAAATGCAGGACAAATCTGATCTTTTCAAGGGCAAGCACTCAAAAGTAACTCAGAAATTAACTTTTTTGTTCTATGAAAAAATCTGAGACATGAATTTGAAATGCTAAATTGGAATCTTCTTGTAAGTCAACTAAACTTGAGAGGATCAGGCTATACTTACGTCTGCAATGCACTATTTTTTGCATTAATAAGGCTCTGTTCTTGTATCTTGTCAAGTATTAACAAGGCACATTTTTCATGACTCTGTAGTCGGGGAAAAAAAACAAATCGTGTTAAGCTGCTGAGGAGTTTGAAATTGAGGCAAAAGAAATGTTACATATAAAAGTGAAATTTAATAACTCAATTTGAAATACAAAACATGCTACAGTTTCTAAGGATGTGTAGTAAGTAGGTGAACTGTAGGAGCCTTAAAATACCATTTATGAACTGCCACTGCTAGGATGCTTTAGCACATTTAGAAATTTAGGCATTCACCTGTCTCTCAACCCTCCATTCATTATATATGAATTCACCTCCTCAGCTTTTGGAGAAGATCACTATTTCTTTGGAGAGAGCATTCCATGGATGATTTATTAGAACTACACAGCAACATAGAAAGAGGTGATTTAATCTCAGAAACTAATACTATACTTTCTGAGTCTTTAAATGCCTTTCTGTATTATCAATAAGCTACTACAAAATCCCTTCAGTTTCTCAGTTTACTAAACCTTGAAAAAGACTTGAGAAAAAGCTTGGAACAATGTTCCCTTCTTCACCACATGTCTGACCACCACATTTCCATTGCAGAAAAATTTTTAGGAGCATAAACATACACACACGTACACACAGACTGTGAAGAGAATGGAAGCATACAGAGGTCTTCAACTTACTTTACTGCTAGCCAAGTGCAAAGATGTATTCAACTCCTTATCTTTTAATGTCAGGTCAGCCTTGGCAATGTTCACCAAGAAGTCTGAGGTACAGAACAGAAATCAAAGAACAAACCCAATGGGCAGACGAACATGTGAAAACAGAAGAAAAAATTAACTCTTTCAATATACACTTGCATACATGCAAATCAATTAAGCCTTTTATGGGATGTAAGCTTTATGAAGATGAAGTGAAAATAATGAATGAGAACAGACTAATCTTGTGCAGTTAATCAGCAAGCAAAGGCAGAGCTAATAGGTCATTCACTGTGCCCCAAACTGTCAAATATATATTAATCTTAATTTATTTATAAACTTCCCCATTTGCAGATCAGCAAATCCCCCGAAGGTACCTGAATCACCTTCTCCTGAGAACAACTGTGGATATTGCTTTGAGAGGACTAAGTGGGTATAAAGAATTTAGGGTGCAGTCTGTGCTGTTGAAGCTAGAGGAAAGGAAATTCTGTTAAGCCAATACGACCCTAATCTGTATGTCTATAGTATATAGTGTAGCCTGGAAAAGCAGCTGCTGATAGCTGCCACTTCGAGAACAGCACTTCCCATAATAGAGTGGAAAAAAAGGTTACACAATCTTTTTCAGATGTGCAGTTTTACTGCACCATAAAATCAAGGAAGTAAACAGAACAGAATTACTACTCCCCCCATGCTCTTTACAGTGTGCTATTAAGGATGTAGGAAATAAGACTCAAGTTTGTTATTGCAAATTTTCAGCAAGACTGCTGAGAAACAATGGCTTAGAAGAAAAAGAAATTTTTTACAGATGTAAAGGTAGCTTCTTACAGACATCCACACAATTTATTTTCCTTCCTCAGTTTTCACAGGAAAAAACTGATTACTTATTTGGGATAGTAACTGCAGTAGCACTCACCCTTCAAGACAAACAGAGGCAAGGATGTACTCACCTACAGCACCTACATGACCGTTTTGAGCTGCCATCATGAGAGGTGTTTTCCCTGCGTGATCCGCAGCATCCACCTGTGCGCTGTGACTCAGGAGGAGCTGGAGGCACTCCACGTGATCCGCAAAGGCTGCTGCGTGAAGGGGCGTTCTGTGGGGAAAGTAACACCACCACAGCTGTTGCTAAAGAATGACAGTCTTCCTGTTTACTTACCTTCCCAGGAACCTGAAAACGCAAGATATTTTTAATTTTTTTTTTTTTTCCTATGAAACTTCTGAGTTATCACCGGCGGAACATTATAGTAGCAGCATCTGAAATAATATTTACAGTCCCTGTCCTGGTGCAATGTGAACTTTAAAAAAAGGGAAGCATAAGGTGGATATGATACTGTGAAGAATCTCATATTAGCAACATATTTATTTTAATGGAGTATACTACATAATATGAAAAGCAGTACAATCCCTCATTCTTATTAATCTGATTTTACTTTTTAAAGAAGCCTAAGATGGGATGAACTATCAGAAAAGTACAGATCCATTATTTAAAAAAAACTCAAGTATTTTAAGCTATAGTAAAAAATACTGCAGCCACAAGCTACAATAATGGTATTCCTATAAAAAGCAGAAGGAATTCTATCCACTTTGAAGGTTATCAGTTTCCACAGGACCAAGACACTAGAATTCAATCGCTGTCTCCCTGTGGCATTTTGGGACTGAAGTGTGACAGCTGGTACACAACCCAGCTCATAGTGTTACTTCAGGTTTTGCTTATCAGTAAGGGTGAGGTGGACTTACCCTTATAGGAGTAAGCAATCATCATTACTGAAGGTCTTGCTTTTTTTTAATTAATAGATACAAGTATTCAATTTTTAATTAAATACACACACACACACACACATATACACACAGTGAGGAGATTATCAATGTGACAAATTAAGGATTTGGCTGAATGCATATCTTTTGCTGTATCAGTCTTACTTCCTGCATAGATGTCTGGAGTTGCGTGCCTTGAGAATGCTAAGGTAACACTGAAGCTTTTAATGAAACACGTTTCTATGTGTACATAGTATCACTCCGTTTAACAAAGATAAACATGTTTAAATATTTAACAAAGAAAACTGGTTCAGGGAAACAGCCTATAGTCATAGCTGTTCTAAACAAACAAAATACTATTTCTTCTGTATTTCTTTTCATATGTGTTATGAAATTGAATACTTTATAGAATTCTTGCTTCAAGTGAGCCACCATTTCACTCTGTTGCAGTATAAACTGCTGTCTGAGTCAGCACGACAAGTCTTAGCTCAACCATATCAGGTAAGAACTAGTTCCAGAGGTTCAGAAAGAATTATGAAAAATACTAGATGGATTCGTGAAGATGAAATGCAATTTGTTTAAGAAACTATTACCTTCCTTTGTCATCTTTGCAATTGACAATGCTGGCATCGATGGCTCCGATGAGCAGTGATGCACAGTTTTCATGATCATTGATTCTGGCAAAGAAAAGTCATTTTCAAAAAGGTAAAAAGTCTACATCTCTTCCTGCTTTCCAATATTAATTTACTTCACTTCCCATTAATATTTCTTATTGGTTATTTCTAAGTTATCCTAACGTACTTTGCCCTAATGCTTTCAGTCACATTTCTGATAATCCATCATCACTCCATTTAACCAAACTGCATTTGCAAATTTTAGCCTCTAAAGCAAAGCTGATCCTGCAATTCATAATGCACAAAGGTAACTGAAAGTGCAGCACAAACCTAGGATTAAAAGCTTAATACCTTAAAATCCTTTAGTCTATATGTCGAACACACCTGGATCTGGAAAGCACTCAGTCACAAGATACCTCATATGGAAAGCTTCATCCTAAAGTTTTAGGTACTGAAGTCCACATCTCTTCCAACTCACGCATT